AATGCCCAAGCCATCGCAGCTGTGACTTCTCAATCTGGAGAAGCAAAGGCTTTATTCCAAGGCTTTTCCGGATGTCACTATTCCAGACCATGTCAAGACGCGTAAAGCCAACGACTCGTCTAATAAAGCCCATTTCAGCAGCTCGTACCCGGGATCGAAGTTTTTCAGTCATGGTCCACGACTCATGACCGTAGGTGAGCATGGGGATGAAGATCGGCTTTAACACCGAGCGCTTAATCTTCAGACTCAACTTTACTTTAGTCATAATGGTTCGGGCTAGTTCACGCAGAACGCCACTGGCTACTCCAGTCCGCCGATCGATCTCTTCCTCAAATTTTCCATCACTATTAAATATGACTTCGAGGTACTTGAACTTCTCCACCTGCTCCACTGTCTCTCCATTAATCTGAGAAGAACAACGGGCAGGAGAATGAGAAAGCACTAGGTTTTTCGTTTTAGATTCGTTCACACGCATTCCTGTCACGTCGCACTCTCTCCTACACCGATAAACTCATCGCCTTGGCAGCGCTTTACTGTTCTATCAGTTACAATACAAACAGAAGAGGGGATAGAACTCAGCCTTGGCGATACCAGCGCCAACGCTGAATGGTTTTGACTTAGCGCCATTTACTCTGACGCAGCCCCTGGTATCAGCGTATAATGATTCGATGGCCCATATCAACTGGCCATCGATCCCATATGTATGCAGTTACATCCATAGATTGTTGCGTGAGATCCGATCATAGCTAGGTCTACAAAGCACATGTAAACCGAATTGGAAAACTCAACAATTTCTCAATAATCTGGCATAAGGCAGATATCTGATCAGAGGTGCTTCGCAAACTTGAAGCCACGCTGCCCTTCTTGTATTTCAGATTTACTTAATCCACAGCACCTTCTTTCTAGACCCTTTGCCGAGACTTCACCTGGGAGGCTTAATGAAGTAATTCCCAGATAAATGGAGCACTTTCTGTGGTCTCCGTTGTTAAACAAGGGTGCCACAACTCCAGTCCGCTGGTGTCTGCCCCTTAGCGATTGCAGTTTGACAACGCGTTTAACTCAACACATACCCCCGTTCGCCTAATGCTTTAAGCATTTCAGAGCGAATTTACTCCATTTAAGCAGGCTTTCCACTTTTCAAGTTTTTCATAGCTTGTGTATTTTCATTTGCAAAATAACTAATGTCCGTTCCCTACGGCTCTTCAGGCGAGTTTTCCCTCGGGTACTCGGAGTTTAGGAATTCCTTTAAGTACTGTCTCCATCAACGAAGCGCGTCTACTTAATTGGTATGAAGGCGTACAGACTTGTCCCGAAGGAATACATTGTTTGCCGTCTGCAAATTCTA